AGCAAAATAAGGAACTGATCATTAGGTACAAACATAGGGAATACCTAGGAATAACTTCGTAATTAGTAACAATGTGTTTTTGGAGTTTCTTCATTTATTGTTTGATTTGTGTCCCAGGATATTCTAGAAGTCAAGTTGTAGCTTCCTATATTCTAGAAAGTTTTAAAATTTGCAGATATCAGAGTATAATTTATGGTCATGGCTTGTCAAAGACTCTTGTTCAAACTATTTTCTGTTCCCTAATATTTGGAAGGTGGGACAGTATATTTCACCGTATTCGGTCTTCAGGTTTAACTATTCAATGAATTTGCTAAACAACACAATGGAGCAATGTGCAAATAGCTTTACAGAAGATACTAAAATCACTTGTTCAAAAATGCTAAGTAATAAAAATTTTGCAAATGTTTCATTAAGCTGCGACAGAAATACTATTTCTTGTATCTATTCTTTTTCTCTCAACTATGAAAGCTACCCTGACATGATTATCTTTCTTCAAAGATTTGAGGATGATTTCCCAATATGAAAACAGGGTTCAAGACAATAAACACATTAGTATTTTTAAAGAATAGAACAGGCATGATAGCAATCAAATTCACATTGAACAATGTGACATACTGCAGCACTTAGTGCTTTTTTCACGTCGTGTTCAACATGGAGGAATACTGATTCATCAACCAAGAGGGTGGTGGGGTCAATATGTGTAATCTGTCAGAGGTTTCTCATGTCCATGTTTGACCTGATGCCATGAGACCTTATAAGTGTCTAGACTCAATGTTCAGAACTATCAGGGCAACATCTTCCTTACTGTGTACCCCTGTGCTGCCACTACTGCTGGGTCTGTTCTGCTGGTGTTGCTCTCTGAGAAAAAGTCAGTCATACTCACATGTTTATACCTTACAGACAATATCACACTGCAGCTCAACTAACTTATGTCACAGCTTTTCTAATTTTAGTTCAGCCTCCAGATGTTAGTAAGCAGGACTTTGCAGGGTTGATAGGGCTTACTGTTTGTTGCTTCCAGTCCCCAGATCATTGCCAAGTGTTCTGTCTAATTTCAATCCTATTTTGAGACTTTTTTTGTTGGTTAGATACAACTGAATGAGCATGTCAGAGTCAACCATGGGGCCGCCTGTAGTGCAGACCAAGTAAGAAAGGTAGATTTCCTTCCCTAAAAAGGTAATTAGTAAACCAGTTGGGTTTTTAATGACAATGGTTTCATCGTCATCATTTCACATTTAATTCCAGATTTTTACATTTATTCTGCTTTGGTGGGATTTGAACCCAGATCCCCGGAGTATTATCTAGGTCTCCGGATTACTAATATGACAACAAAACCATTATCGTGTCACCTCCATGCCTACTTAGATGTTCACCACGACTTACTCTACAAGGAGGATTTGAAACAAATAATAAACATTAGGAAGGCTCTAACCTGCATTATCTCAGGGCCTCCTGCCAGAACAGTCAGGGAGCATGTCTATTTCCCACTTACACACTGGACAAAGTAGTTGAGGACTAGTAAGGTTAATTGTGCTTGAATTTGATTAGAATGTTACAAGTTGCTCTGCATGCCTCTTTTAACAGGTAAAAGTTCAACGTTTAGTTGGTGAACAAATTCTGGAATTCAGGGCACATTTTCTGGAGCCATTACCTGAAGGCTGGATGCAAGAATATATTTAGAGGGCTCTTGCGTTGCAGTGACAATACCCCTACCTCACAACAATTTGGCCAGGGTTCAAGTTTCACTTGTTCCACATCCATGTTACAAACACGTCTGAACAGGTTGATAAAAAAAAATTTACAGCTACAATCAGATGTTTTTATAGTTCTCAAAATTAAACTGGTGGAGCCACAAGTTAACGGGGTACAAGAGCTGCATTCAGTGGTCAGGATAGCTGTTCTCTCATTTTCTCTTCTCTAACTGTTAATTCAAGGGGGAGAATGTGAAAACAGAGCTCCAGGGGTTCCATGCAGTTGTGCTGTTTCCATGGTGACAAAATTAAAGTCTATGCACTATTTGATCCACTGCTGTACTCTACATTCCGATAATTTGGTCCCCAAGCCAGCAAGGTCCATAATATTCCAAAGCGTGGATGACTGGCTGGTTATTCTGGCCCTCTTAGGGTCATAGAGTTGTACGGCATGGAAAGAGACCCTTTGGTGCAACACATCTGTGCCAACCAGATATCCTAAATTAATCTAGCCTCATTTGGCCCATATGCCTCTAAACCCTTCCTGTTCATGTACACATCAAATGCTTTTTTAAATATAACTGTACCAGCCTCCACCATTTTCTCTGGCAGCTTATTCCATATACACACCACCCTCTGTGTGAAAACGTTGCCCCTTAGGTCCCTTTTATATCTTTCCTCTCTCACCTTAAACCGGTCTTCTTTGGGACAGCCCTACTCTGGGAAAAAGACCTTGGCTGTTCACCTTACTTATGTCCCACTTGATATTATAAACATCTGCAAGGTGTCCCTCCCACCCCAATGCTCCAGGGAAAATAGCCCCGATCTATTCAGCCTCTCCTATAACTCAAACCCTCCAAACCTGGCAACATTCCTGTGGAACTTGAAAGGGTTCAGAAAAGATTCACATCATCTTTCCTATTGCAGGGAGACCAGAACTGAACACAGTATTTCAAAAGTAGTCTAACCAATATCCTGTACAGCTCCAACATGACATCCCAACTCCTATACACTTAAGGAGCATGCAGGAACAGAACTGTAACACTTTAAAATACATGCACAGATTTCCAACTCTCTCTCTCTTAACACCCTCTAGTCCTAAAAACTCATTCCAAAAGTTTGTTTCACTGACTGATCTTTTGAGCATCTTTCCCTCTTATGTGACCAATGACCTCGCTTTCATGGGTCCAAAACTTTAGATATCTTATTTGAACCCATTCATCCAGAGTTTCATTCTCCTTAATATTCTCCACTTTCACCAAAATTTTAGTCATCCCCTTATTGTCTATCTTATTCGATGTGGCTTCTACTTGCACCTATTACTGGAGCATGAATATCAAATATGGACATCAACACTTAATATAGATACTAGAAGGATGAAATAAAACAAAAGAAAATGCATCAGTGTTAAGTTTAGAGACACTTCTCTTCCAGGAATGCCTATCTTGAAAGAAGTTCTCTCCAATGGGAGTTCCATTTGTCTCTTTTACCATCTTTATTGTTTTGCATCCCTTCTCATGATCAATCAGATATCTACCAGAGGTCACTTTCACAGCCAGATCTCCTTTCTCAGCAACAATCACATGACCTACTGCTCCTAGTTCCAAAGTTCAGACTATATCCTTGGTTGACAAATGAGTGAAAGCATTTTAGGCACATGCAGGAAAGTAGAACTGAAGACTCAATAATATCAATCTTAACAAATGTCACAGTAACTTAGTGGTCAAATGGCCTACTCCTGCTTCAGATGGTTCTGTAAAATCATTTCTAATGCAAGGTCATTGACCTGAAACATTAACTTCTTCTTTCCCCTCAATAGATGCTGCTTGATATATTAAGTCTACACAACATTTTCCATTTTTATATCATTTATTGCTGTTTCTCAAGTATAAAAGAATGCCAGACTTTGTTATTGAGATGACACCGACACAGATAAATTCAGTTTTTTCATAGTCTTCTTCTATCCCAGTCATTGATATAGCATCAATGGCAAAATAATACCACACACAATCTAGCACTTCCTCTATACAGCACATGTATCATTGTCCTCGGTAATCACCAACTAACGAGTATGATTGTCCATATATAAAATTTCACTTTCAGCGATCATGGGTTCTGCAGATCTTCGTATGACTGATGAGCCCAATTCTACATCAATATCTCCAACCATACGTTTTGGCAGGTATTTCCACCAAATGATCCTGGGCCTTGAGAACATTGGCAGTTCTTTCTCCGGTTTCTTTTTCATACTTCCTCTTGCTAATAGGTGTGCTCAAAGAATATTGTCCCTTCACACGAGTTTCCTCTAAGTCAGTTTCTTCTAAATGAGGGTCTCCTATGCATTGACATCGATACTGTATTTCTTGAAGGAAACGAGCCTTGTCCTCTCACGCAACTGCTTTTGCTGAGAAGATTTGCTTTGGAAGTTGGATTTCAAGCATCCTAAGCACGTGGCAGTCCAACAGAGTTGTTTTTTTATGGTCATAGTCTAGGCTGTTAGCTGCTTCAAGAATGCTCTTGCTTGTGCACCTGTTTTCCCAGCTGATGCAGAGGATCCATCTCAAAAAGCGTTAATGGTACTTCGAGGGTCTTCAGGTAGCGTCTGCACGTACTCCAAGTTTCAAGCCAAATGGAGAGTCAGAAAGATGACTGCCTTATATAAAAGTGAAGCTAATTAGGCTAAAAGCATGAATCTATTTAGCACACTGAAATCAGGGAAGTTCTTCCACTACTGGGTTCAATTCACTTCCTTGCAAGAATTGACACATTTGATTTCTCTCAATGTTGTGTTGTGTTGTGGCCTTTAAAAAGGTGCTGTGATGAGAACTTGGTGTGCAGGAGAAGAATAGAGAGAATGTACTGAGTTGAATGGAGCAGCTGTAAAAGATTTTTAATAAAAAGTGCGGGCGAGGGGTACGGTCTCAGAAACAAAAATTGCTGTAAAACCTCAGGCTGGTCTAGCAGCATCAATGGAGAGAAAGCAGACGTTTCGAGTCCGATGACCGTTCCTCAGAACTGATAGCATCTGGGTTTAAAAAAAGGGGCATTTATCTTGATGATAAAGGATGGGAGGGGAGGAAAGTGTTAAGATCTGAAATAATGAGAAACCTCACCCTGCTTGTGGTTGAAGAGCTATCGACATGAGCTAAAACCCCAAAGCGATGGGCTGTCCACTGCCTCCAAGTTCGTCCATTAAACTAACTCGTTATCGGGTGACATAAACTTCACAGGCACCTCAGGCCTCTGCAAACTGGCGGTTCCGCAACAAATGGCGGCGACGGCCTGCGGCCTAGGATGATGGCGCATTACCTTGATCTTGTTGAGGACGCCGCTGTTCTCCAGGGTTTGCACCAGCAAGTCCCGCAGCTCCGTGTCCTCCTCCGCCGACATTTTACAAAGACAACCACCCAAGCTTTGCTAGTGTTCCATTCACAGCGGCACTTTGACAACGTTTTTATTTCCCCCCCCAAACAATATAAGAGTCTGGTACAATGTTTTCAAAATAATCGTTGGCGCGTGCGTGTTAAATGAAAGAAGGTTGTTGACGCTTGAGGCGGTTTGACGAAATGTAAAGTGCGAATGGAGCAGTAACGGTCTATTAAGCCGAGCGCGCGAGTAGCGCTGTTGGCGGCGGTTAGGGCCACGCGGGTACTGACCACTGCTGGCTCACTGAATGCAGAAAGGTACCGAACACTTCTTTAAAATGTGCCACTATTTCCTACTATTATGTAATAAGACCTATACTCTCACCATTTATTTTAAAATTAGTCGTAATTTGTTTTGCAAAGTACTGCAAATACCTCTATCAACTTACCGAATTGTGGATGTGGCTCAGAATGTATTCTGTATTTTTTGTCCGAGTTCATCTTATCCACGATGTTCCTCTCCAGTGCATTTAATTCTATTCTCGGGAGACTTTCTATGCCAGTTCTCCTCCTGGTCCTTACTTAGCCAACTAGTGTCAATGATTCCGTCCTCAGTTGTTTCACACGCCTATAAATCTGCAACTCCCCGAAAACAAAAAGCCCTCAGCCTTTTAAATCAGAGCTCAGTTTCTTAGTAATTCTTAAAATGAATTGGGAGAGAGTGATATAATGGTAATGCCACTTAACTAAGAGGCTGGGGCTATTGTTCAAGACCCATCACTGTAGCTTGTGGAATTTAAACGTGTGGTATTCTTTGCAGCAGAAGGCTGTGGAGACCAAGTCATTGCGTGTGTTAGATGATACGTTTTTGATTAGTAAGGGGATCAAGCGTTACAGGAAGGTGATAGGAGAATAGGGTACTGAAACATCAGCCAGCATTGAACAGTCGAGCAGCTGCGACGGAGTGAATGGCCCAATTCTACTCCCATGTCTTACGGTTTAACTTGTCAAAATTTATTAAGCCCAATTTCAACGCTTGCAATTGTACAAAACATCTCTTATCAGTTACAAATGACATCCTACATAACTCTGACAAAAATACCTATTCCTCCTCCTTGACCTACAGTCTTTTATGTGATTAACCACACTATGCTTCTTCAACGCTTCTCTGTTCTGAGCTGGGTGGGATTGCTCAAGTTTCAGTCTTATCTATATAAAAGAAGAATATTACTTGCAATGGCTCATCTTTCCACTCAGTACAGTCACTTCTAATGTCCCTGAAGATTCTGACCACACCCTCCTTGTGCATACTGCCCCTTAGAGACATTGCCCAAAAGCACACCATATAATACTGACAACTTGCAACTTTACCTAATCATCACCTTTCCCAACTGCATACTGTTGAAAATGGAGACATTGGAAATAATTCCACAACAGGGCCGTATGCCATCACCAAGTCACTCTTTATTGACATATGCAAAGCTTTTGACACTGATCCAACTTTCTCAGCGTGAACAGAACCTGTGACACTCCTGTTTATGTGCCAGCCTGGGATCCTGATTGGACCAAATTAAACAGCCCCAATCAGGGAACTCCTATTCAGAGGTCCACCTGGCTGACCTTATTACAATCACTCCAACTGCCAGTGCCAAATAAGTAGATTATTTCAGACCCATTCCAAACATAGTTTCCTTGTTACACATTGCAGCACCCTCCCACAGCTCACCTGCTGCTGTAACCCTCATTCATGCCTTTAGTCTATCTTTAGACTTGACTATTCCAACACACTACTGATTGATGCTTTTGATGTATGCTCTGTCAACAGGAGGTCATCTTTTCAAAACTCTTCACATTCTATTTCAAAAACATAACTGCCTACATATGGTATTTAATTTGTCTCTTGCTCTTCATAGCCAGGAGGATAGCTGATTATACCCCAGCTGAATATCTAGACCAGTGACTTCCAATACGATGCGAGAGTCTTGTCAGTTACTAAAATGTGAGCAATTTACTTACTTATAGCATAGTGTCCTCAAAACTAGCTGTAATTTTAGACGTTTTAACTTATTTTCCCATTAAAAAGATAACATATGTTTAAAAAAAAAATCAGTGGCTGCAGGGAAACAGCTTATTAGCAGTACAGTTTGTCATCCATGATACTACAGGGATTCATTTATTTTTCATAATCCTGTCAACAAACACAGATGCTGAGGTGAAAAACATCTCAGTATTTGCATTCACCATGTAGTTTTTTAATGAAATCTTCATTTTATCTAGCACAAGAAGAGTTCAAATCAATCAGTATCTTGACAACTATATTAAAAGCCTCGTAAGAGGTTTTACCTCAATCCTTTCCTTAATAATTGTACATTTCCATGTAAAGAGCAAGGCTGTACAAATTTCATAGCAATTCCTGTTACAAATTTGAGGACATTAAATTCACTTTGCAAACAAGTTCTTTAGGGAGTTTAATCTGTATTTTTAAAAGGTAATTTATTTTCAACTTACAAATAGAATGCATAGGACTTAATTGAGTACTGTAGGTGATTGAAATCTTGCACAAAAGTGCATAATTTATCAGGGCAGTGGGTGCATTGTACATGTGGTAATAGATAAGTAGTATTACAGAAGAATGTTCAAGTCAGTTCTTTTTCCAGCTACACTGTGTTGCAATAGTCTGAAAATAAATTTGAGGAGGGAGGCAAAACCAAAAGATTCTGCTTGACGTATTCAAATGTGTTGATTAGAACTTTGAAAAATGTGACGTGGAACCAAATTAAATGTATAAGTAGCATTTCTTAAAACTTGTAAATATAGCAGAACATCTTTTAAAAAGTGTTTAATAACATAAATAACTAATTTAGTCAGGGTAAATAACAAATTTAAATTGTACCAATGAATAAATACCACATGCAAACACTCCAATTAGCAACAATGTACAAATATGTCCACTTGCAAACATACATATTTTCTGGAACAGAAATACATTGTGGATACCTTCCTTTTTTAAAACATTCATTTAGATACTTTTTAAATTGTTTAAAATTTTCTTCAGAATTTATTTTCCCTGAAGCATGCAGATAAGCAAACGTTGGACTTGCAACGGGCATTATGATGCACAATGTTTTGTGCCAGTAAGTAAACTGGAATTATAAAAGCATAACTTTACTGTAGAAAGAGCTAATTCAACAATAAATGCAAAATATTTTGATCCTACTACTCATTTTATTAATTATTTATCCATAGAATCATAAAACAAGGTGTGGAATTAGGTTGCTTTCTGAAAGCCAGGAGAATTTGTTTCAGGAACATAATGGAACCGGTTACTACTATGAGGGTTTTTTTTTTCTTTCCTAGATATAAAGTTTATCCAAATACTTGGCATGTGTAAATATTCCCAAATCTTGAAGGAATAAGAGTACACCCATAGGGATAGTTGGAAAAATAGAAGCAGAAATATGTAGAGTAAAAAGAAAGTGGCTTAAATTACAATGTAGGAGTGAGGAAGTATCCATGAGGGTAAAAATGCATGTCTTAGTCATTAACTGGAATTGTGTACAGGAATACCATCAGTTACACGGTGTAATACACTGTAACCTCTACAGCCTGGTACGTTTGTGACCAAGCCGTTTCTGAATTTTGGAAGTTTGACTTATAGAATGATATTGTCATAGTGACATAGCACGGAAACAGACCCTTCAGTCAAACTCGTCCGCAGATGTTTAATAATTTAAGAGAACTGGAAAACACCATAGGTAAATATCTACGTGTGGTATAAGTGATTAAAACAAATAATGTTTTGCTTATATAAATTGCATCTTCCTCATTTCTGCTCTCAAAGAACAAATTAAAATGAGTTGCTTGGGTGCACTTAAACATTTCTCATCAACTGGTATTTCCAAACAATGTTGATTTTTCTAAGTTAATAAAGGTTGTTAAGTAATAGGCAAAGTAACATTATAACATATACATCTCTTCAGTTGCACTTAGGTATTTATAGTCATAGAATCATACAATATAGAAGAGGCCTTTGGCCCTTCAAGTCTGTACTACCAAAATATACTTGCTATACTACACCTATAGCTTTTAATGTTATGACATTTTTCAAGTGCTCATTCAGTACTTTTTAAAAGGTTGTGAGGTTTCCCACCTCAAGTACGCTCCCAGGCAATGCCTTATCAGAGTCTAACTACTCTCTGGGTGAAAAGCTTTTCCTGAAATCTCCTTTAAACCTCCTGCCTTCCACATTAAAATTATGCCTAAATGGAACAGCTGCTTTCTGTTCACTCCCCTCAATCTTATACACTCCAATCAGGTTCCCCCGAGCCTTCTCTGCTGATCCATTGTTTTGCTTTCTGGCATGTACTGAGCTTATGCCAAGAATAATGAATCACAAAATATCAAGACTGTCACAACTGTGTTTTGTGCAGGGCTGTAACATTATGAACTGTATGAAGGTCATAAAGCTGACCCACTGTTCATTTCCCATTGTGTATTTGTTCTTTGCAAATTAACAAAGTCAAACCTTGTCTTAAGCTCATTGTATAAATTAAGCATTTTAGTCATGTTGGGGAGCTCAATTTTAGAAACAACAAGACACTGAAAACTCCAGACCTGAAAACTTTCAGACATGGAAACTCATTGTGATTTTAACCTTTGAGGGGATGGTGTTAAAGGCAAGCCCAAGGACTAACTGTGAAGTTGTTTCAAATCTTGTTGTTTGCCGTCATAGTCATAAGCTAATTTAGAATTGGACTGTCCCGTAAAGGTTTTAGTTGTTGGAGTTCGCTGAACGTGCTTCTAAAATGACAACAGATCCCAGTGCTGAGGAATGGTTAATCTGATTACCATACGCAAGCAACATTACACACCTGGTAGGAATAATTATGCTAAAGAATGCAATGTAAAGGGCTAATCTTCACATTAATTTCCCAATGTCACTAACATTCTCCCTCATTGTGATAATGGCTACCCTTCAAAAGGGAAAAGAAATTTAACTGGCTGTAAAGGGCTTTTGAATATCCTGACCTTGTGCAAAGTGCTATATGAATGCAAACCAAAAGAACTGCAGATTCTGGAAATAATCAAAAACAGACAATGCTGGAAAAGCTTATCTGGTCTGGCAGCAACTATGGAGAGAAATCAGTTAACATTTTGGGTTCAGTGATCTCCAGTTCTGAGGAAGAGTCACTGGACTCTGATTTCTCTTCACAGATGCTGCCAGACTGGTTGAGCTTTTCCAGCAATGTCTGTTTTTGTTGCTTATGAATGCAAGTTTATTTCTAATGCTTAATAAATGAAGGAAAGCTTCCTTCATGCCCTGACATGGATGTTTCTATATCTACAACATTATTGGGAGAAAAGGTGGGGAGAGAGATGGCATACAATAAAGCAACTAAAATCATTTCTTCCAAACAGGAAAGGTGCTTGAAGATAGTGGTTCTGAATGTACATGAAGCAGCTTTTGGGTGTGCAATCCTTGCATATTGAAGATGGATGTTAGGGGGCAAAATATTAAATAATACATCTGATACTTTTATTAATATACCTCAAGACATTCTAAAGCACTTTGTATCCAATGAAATACCCTTGACATGTAGCTGCTCGTTATGTAAAGCATGACAGCCAGCACCTGGGAAGAGAAAATTTAAGTTAATATTTCATAATTAACATCCATTTAAAACATTAACCTCTTGTTACAGTTGATGAGCCTGTTTCCAGCATTCTGCAGTCAGTGTTTCAGCTTCCCAGCATTTGCTGTTTGCTCTTTTTATCAATTTGTTAAAGAATATTATCACAGTCTGGCACATCCAAACTCAATCACTCTCACATTCTGAAGCACAATTGATTCTATTCATATACCACTACTTACCCTCCCTCGCAATATGTTGGGGATAGTCAAGCATTCTCCATCTTTCTTACATTTTATTTCTATTCTTTCTACTTCATTTCCTCATTCAGCCATTGAAATGAAAAATTTACAAGCCTGTTCTCAATTTTATATTGATCATAGAATCCCTACAGTGTGGAAACAGCCCCTTCAGCCCAACAAGTCCACACCGACCCATCTCCCTATAACCCACTGAATCTACACATTCCTGAACACTACAGGCAATTTAGCATGTCCAATCCACCTAGCCTGCACATCTTTGGACTGTGGAGTTATAATGTCTCTTCTTATTGCACACACAGCTATTGAAAAGTAGACCTAATTGTCTGTGTCTAATGCACAGTCCATAGCATGATCAGAAGTATCGTTGACCCATGATTTGTCCGGGCATTACATCATCAGTTTATTAATTGGCTAGCTACAGCATGCACAGTATATGGATAATTCTTGGTTAATCCTGCATTGGCTAGGTAATGTATGGCAAATTTGATTTATTTCTTAAATTGTCATCTACTGACATCAGTTTCCATTAACTGTTGATTGGTCCTTTAAAAGGAAATTCATTGGGGAAAAAAGGATATGCTGGAAAAGTGACTTCTAACCTTAAACCTATAGAATATACTCCAGGAGGCCCAGGTTCAAGTCCCATCTGCTCCAGAAGTGTGCAATAACATCTCAACAGGTTGAGTAGAAAATATGATATCCAGTTTTGTATAAAATTTGTTCATACACACTATCACTGAAGCATCAGCATATAGATAATGTAATAAACAATATATAAAAGTTGAGGTGGTGAGATTCTTGTACAGTCACTTTAGTATTGAGTAATAAATTCTGAAGGATTATATAGCTATAGTTAAAAACATTTAAATTAGTTACCTTTGCAACAAAAATTACTTTTAGTCAAATACAATTGCTTCTCTTCTAAAACACAATTAAAACACCAACAATGTAGGACACAGATGCTGTATTTTTTTTCCTCACTCTACAGTAAATACCTTCTTGTCTTCCTGTATTGAAAATATCAAAGCCTTTTGATAAGGATGCAACAAGTCAGGAGAATGTAAGCCAATTCAATCTTGAAGGTTGAAAGTTCTCATGGTATGTTCTTTTTAAAAGTGAGTCTAAGCAGGGCCACATGGTATAGTAAAGTTTGTGTAGATTAAAGTAAGGCAGAATGTGTTAGGTTAATTAATAAATGTACTTTGGTGGCATAAACAGACCAAACTAAAATCGATCATCAAACATCAACCCCTCTCCTAGTCCCTACAGGAATACATTCTACCCTTTATTCATCTCTATCAGGATCCACAAGAACGGGTCAACTGAAAATATATATAATTACACATTTTCTCTCATCTCACTGGCTATTGTCGATTGATATTAGAGAGCTCAGACATGAAAGATTGATTTCCAGATGAATAAGTCAACCATCTTAGAACATTGAGAAAGTTACTGGAAATATTCAGCTGAGGCTGCATCTGTAGAGAGAGAAACAAAGTTAATATTTCGAGTCCAATATGACTTCTGCGGAACATAGCATTTTCTGCTGTAATTTTTGGCTTTAAGTCATTCATTCTCATTAAGTTTCAGTCTGAAGCTGGTGCAGAAACAAAATACCACATAAGTTGGAAGTTTGAAAATAGAAGAAAATGCTGGAAATACTCAGGTGGAAATCTGTGGAGACAGAAAAAGATTAATGTTTCAGGTCAATTACCGTTCAGAATCTGATAGCTGGATTGATTACAGTTATAAAAGTCTTTCAAGTCGGAACTTTAAAGGTTTTAGTCAACACCAGGCAACAAGTATTGTTGTTTTTATTCAATGTGGGGAAAAGGCAAAAACAATATAAATAAGTGTTGTAAGACAGCACTTCTCACATCATCATCTTCTGGAATGACTCTCCATGAATGTAATACATCAGGAAAGGCATTAGTTTAGCAGATAGCTTTTACCATACTTAAAGTTAATTCACCCTCCTGATCAAAAAAGTCTAATTTTTGTACTTCTTGTTTCCTGGCCCGTTTCACTATTCTGGCAATCACTCATTCCCATTGTTCACTTTGCTTCATGTGGGCCACATCTTGCATGTCAACAGCTTCAATAAACTCACCTAAGCTGATCAATCACGGCGAACTGTGCTTCTGTCCTTACTAAAACATCCACATGTGCATCACATGCTGGGATCATTATATTATGAAAGCAGAAATGACTGGAGAAACTCAGGAGGTCTGGTAGCAGCTATGGAGAAAAAAAAAACAAAGTTAATGTTTTGAGTCCAGTATGACTCTTCTTTGGAACACCTGGGTTCAGGCTGCCAGACCTCGGAATTTCCCCCATTATTGTGTTTTTATTTCAGATCGCCAGTATCTGCAGTACTGTGCTTTCATTGCAGTGTTACAATCTGCTATGAAACGAGCCAAATCTTTCCCCAATCCAAAAGGTGCTGGATCCAGTTCATACCTTCATAGAACTGTCCAAGTTGAGATCAGTAACCCAACACTGAATCAGGATTTAGTTTGGACCATTTCTACCTTGTATGCCTTAATACCTTTTAAAACAAAGCCCTAGGAAGAGTTGTACTACAAACCATAGCACAAGATTTCCAATAACATAACTGTGTACATTCCTTTAAAAAAATGTTCAACAATATTTTTGAAATATAGTGAGACGCAAAAAGAGGTATAGCTTTGAACTATGACTTTATTGATCTATCAGCACAAATGCAAGGTCAGTAGGTGCAGTTGCACCTTATTGAAACACAAAATATTTGATATAAACATCACTCGTCACACCTCAAAATGGATACTTGTATACTTGTAAAGGATGTTAGATAGTACCCAATTGCTGGATGGAGAGTTTTCAACTGCTTTCAAGAAAAGTCAAATTATGTTGAACAGGTCATGAGCATTGAATTCAACAAACTGATTAATTTCAAAAAGGATTCCTTTAACAATGAAAGTCAGTTTATGAACTCTTATGTATTGCAATGCAGACTAAACAAATTTTAATTCAAACTTCTGTAATCCACTATTTCCTAACTCCAGAGACTGGCCACATAAAACAACAAGGAGCTTTCTGTGTGTCAAAAGATTAAGTGTATGTATCATCTGAAAAGATCTTTAATCCAGCTGGCAACAGACTAAAGCAACCTTCAACAATCTTTAGAAACAACTTAATTATTTAAAAAAATACAAATTTTCAAAAGTGGTGATAAATAAACTTTAATTACATTCATTTAACAAGCATTTTTTTCCCCAACCGTAGCTAGAACAATACTTTTAACTCACTGTGGCTTGGCCGATTTATGCTGTGGTCTGTGCATTCTTAAGTGCACAATATTCATTCCTCAGCCCCCGAAGAAAATACTTCTTTGTTTCAACCAACTGAGCAGAATTTCACAACAAAGAGTGGAACCGGAAAAGGAAACTGTTTGCTTAATTTCTCAAGAGAAACAAAACCTCCCCCTCCCAGATCTGCACTAGAATAAATTCTCCAGCACAAAACACAGCAACATTGAGCCATTTACAGCCAGACCTTTATTTTCATACCAATAATATCATTTACATTCCAATAAAATTACAACTGGCAAAATTTACACTTGGTTGTCAAAGTTTAGATTCCAGCACCACCACCTCTCTTCCCCCCCCCACCCCCCAATACCTACTAACCCCATCATTGTTTCCCTAATTTGCCTCCCATAAAAAGGAAATACACACTAATTCCCTCAACACTTTGTAGTAAAGGAGCTAATGACCTCAAAAACAAGGGATGATTGACAACATAGATCATGAAAATTGCAACTACTCAGCATGGACTCCAGTGGTTACCAGCTCACCATTTACTTTCTTTGCAACAGAAGGCTTTTGTTACCCCGCTAAAATAGCTTTTAATTGCACCATCTGTGGCCAGGTTGGTCTAGAAAAGATATTACAAGAATAATGGGTATAGAGCTTTTGGAAATCAACGTTATTTGAAGATACTTTATAGCATAATAGGATTACGATCTGTGATATTTTGTGTTGAACTATAATACTGATTTCAGTTTTCCGCTCCTAAAATTCCAACTGCCAATTAGTTATTTATTGGTGGAATGTGAATGCATTGATCAAAAACACTAAGCAAAATAATTTCAATTTTTCATTTTCACAGGAAGAGGCAAAACAATTATGTACAAGAACTGAAGATAAGACATATTGACTATTATATATGCATTTGACCAGTGTTGTGTTTTACTTAACAATCACTAGAGCTAGTCACAGTTTGTTAATACCAAGGGGAAATACTCACCATATGTACAGAAAATAACGTACATCTCATTAGGTCCTTATTTGAACTTGCACAGTTCACTGACAATTTCTGGTTGGTAAGTAAGAGCAAAAGTACAATTAATTTTTACCATTGCTCAAGAAATATTTAAAGCAATTTCTAGGTCCAAGAATACCAACATTTATATGCACAGGTTTTAAAATTTATAGCCATTAACGTTGGTTGTTTAAACAATGTGATCAAGCAATTTTGCACTACACTGCTTCACTTGCAAATCAAAATGGTCTCAACATGTTTTTGCAGACATCAATCACAAGTTGACAATGCATCGAAGACACAGCCAAACCTCATTTCATGTACAATGACTGGGAGTTGCTTTCTAAGATTTTCCTAAAGCTTCATCATATATCAGAACTTTGGATGGATGCACATGCAGTTATTCTGTTGCAAAGATGCTACTAATTAGGAATATCAGCGCTGGTGTTGCGGCTTCCATATTTGTGGTGGATGATCAGTAGCACGACTCCCAGAAAGAAGCAAATAGAACCGACAGTGATGTACGCAATTCCAAGGAATGGATTCTTTCCTCCCATCCAAGAAATAGTGCTCAAGATCATTCTTTTTCGCCCATCAAAGCTGCGCACTGGATAATCTGAACATTTTCGTAAAGGAAGACTAGTATAGTACTTAACTAAAACTTACACTTATTGAACATTGGTTTATTTACCAGAATAAATTTTCAAGAATGCTTATTTAATCCAACTTTCGTTGTTACTTTTGACACATTAACTTTTGGTCTCAATTTAATTTGGAAAATCTGTCATTGCATAATCCTATGTTGACAGCATATATTGAACTGTTCAGCTCTCTATAGCACTACAGATGAAATATGGGGTTATATCATCAAGCTGTTCTCAATAACGTATTGCCTAAACTCTACTTTTGACTTTGGAAAGCATCAAATCTGAACCTAATCCTGTCCTGGCTCAAAAGGTACTTCCCAGCAGTGATCACAGATTGGAAGAGGGCATCCTGTTGAGACAACTGCAAAACTCCCAACAAATCAGTTAATTCAGCCCTGACCTGGGATCAAACCAGACAACATATGATGCAGTAGCATTTTGAGTGTTCATATTATTTCATAGCATAGTCCAATTTTCAAATTAATTATCATTTGATCAATTATAGATTCACTTCCACCTGCTAAAGGAAACAAGTGAGCAATTTAACTTTCATTTGAAAATGTAGACTTGGCTTTCACATTCTAGCTGTCCTTACTACTAGATAATTTGGCATGATACACCATTTGTAAATTGTAATCATGCTTTGTACTACTGCACACTGTCTTTGCACTTCTCTCAACATTGTAATCTTATACAATACAAGGTAACATTCTCTTGATCATTTTTAGATTTGGAAAAAAGTATATTATGAGAGTCCTGGTTGTGGATGTGTCTTTTTGTAATACTTCAGCTGGGGGAGTAAAGACTTCTCTTTTACAACTTCTTTGTCAATCGAATCTCATTTTACGACTCCAGAAAGGTTCAATGATCTGATGCTGCAAATTACAGTGGTTGACATAAAGGAAGAATTTCAAATATTAGATGAAATATTCATTACTTGTCTGGACAAATGTAGCTTCAACAATACAAGAAACTTGATACCATCCAGAATAAAATGGCTCAATTGACACCACATCTTCCAACATTCACTCCTTCTATCAACAATGCACAGTAGCAGCAGTGTGTGCCATTAGTTGCACTATAGCAATTCCGAGATCTTTAGACAGCACCCATCACTTCCACCTGGAACGACAAGGAAAGCAGATGCATGGGAACACCACCACCTGCTTGTTTCCCTCCAAGCCACTCACCATGCCGACTTAGAAACAGAATTGCTGTTTCTCCAGTGTTGCTGGGTCAAAGCGCTGAAACTCGGTTCCTTGAGAGTCTACCTACAGCAAATGGACTGCCGTGATTCAAGAAGGGAGCTCACTACTACCTTCAAGGGCAATTAGGGATGGGCAATAAATTTGGCACAGACAGCGATGCCCACTTCCCATAAATTAATTTAAAAAGACACAGATTTGAGAGCATCTACTTGATGTCTGAAAATGGACCTAGAGTAAAGAGAAAAAATAAGCCATGTTGCCCTCTTGTCGCAGAATGAAATTAGATATTTCCTGATGCTGTTAGATAAACTTGCATACCGACTATAACATTTCCTTCTTTCCACAATTCAGATGTTCAAATAGGGTAATCAAGACAGTAATTTACAAAATTGATCTGTTGTTGACTTTATGATTGAGATTGTGTCACAGTACAAGCTGAGACCTATCTTCATGTATAAAATGCAAAACTAGTAGTAACTTTAAGCGGACTGATTTTCAGAATAAATTTTCATTTTAGCTTTTATAATCAATTAAATCTGTGAACTGCTTTTCAACTGGATACCTAACTATAGTTTTACTGCTTATTAGCAGGTGTATAATTTGTACCAATGTTTGTTGATGCAACATCTACATTCCTTACATTCTCATTTATAGCATAATGCAATTAGAAAAGTGAAATGATAGGCATGAAAAGGAACCAATATGCAGTTTTTAAAAAAGCAGTATAGCAGATTTTATTTGACCTATAGCTGCAAACATTTGATTGCAGCAAGAAAATAAGTTCATGTGTACAAGACTGCTTTTTGAACAAACATGGATCAGTACTTAAAACCCACTGATCTTCAGAAGACTTCAAGAGGAGAATTAAAATGACAAACAGGCAGCATCTTTAGTTCAGAGATAGTAG